TTCGCACGGCAGTGTGACAGATTGGCATCCGCGCCGCGTATAATTCAGCGATGAGGGCGTTGTGTCACTCAATACGGCGCTCTTATGTCACCTATTGGTATTCGCTATGAAATACGGCCTGATTCGCACTAGAAATCGTGACCAGAATCCAAGCGCTGGAACTGAACCTATAAAACGCACTCTAAAAAAGAGAATTCATCAAGAGTTTACGTCCGATTTTTACACCTTAAAAGGAACCAAAGGACCGGGCCAAGAGCCGTTCAGTGCTGCCAAATTGCATGTAATTCTACACAACGCGTAAAATTTCGAGGTTTTCGGATTATTCTGTGAATCTTGTAAGAAGACGGACTATATCTGCGGATATTTGATGGGAGATTTGAATCTTGAACGGAGATTATAGAAAAATGCAGATATGCTAAAGGCTTTTCTAGGACTTGAAAGGGTGGGTAATATCAGATGGACTGCATTTTGCAATTTGGACCTATAAATTCTGGCTCATCTGAAAAAACATGTATGTGCACAGGGAAACTAATGGTACATACGTTGTTTTGAAATCGGGCTAGAATTTATAGTTCCAAATTGCAAAATGTAATCCAGATGATGGATGAAAATTCTGACTCCACTTGAAAACATAATAGAATCAAATATACAGATAATTGGACTGCATTTTGCAATTTGGACCTATAAATTCCGGCCCGGTTTAAAAACAACGTATGTGCTATTAGTTTCCCTATGCACATAAGTGTTTTTTCAGATGAGCCAGAATTTATAGGTCCAAATTGCAAAATGCAGTCCAATTGGTCGAGAGCAGGAGGGGGAAGAGAGAATTAAAGGAAAAAATCAGAATAAGAAATAAAAATAACTTCAGTTCTAAAATGAGCGAAAGGTATGAGAGAGGGAGGAAAGAAAAACTGTTGACTTTCCCGGATTTTCACTCTTGAACTTTCCCCATACCCGCCGCGTAACGGAGATAAGACACGGTCTCAGAATGATCCTTGAAAGTGGGAAAAAGTCACGTTTAAATTAGGAAAAGTTCCCTAAAATGACACAATTTGTCTAAACTTTGAGCCGCGATCCCCTTAAATATCCATAAGTCTTAGAACAGGGTTGCCGCAGAATTTAGAAGATGAAATTCCCTGATATTTCCCTGGTTTCCCTCACACATTTTGGTGAAATTCTCTGACAATTGGAGGTTCATGCCAGATGGTGAAAAATACATGATTAGATATAGTTTTCAGGATAATGTGTTGTTCGAAACGTCAAACCTATTTTAGATAGCAGATAAAGGTGACTTCAGGAGTTTTTCCTGACGTTTAGTCATTTTCCCTGACATTTGTCTGATTTCCCGGACACATTTTGGTGAAACTCCCTGACAATTGAAGATTTATGCCAGATAGTAAAAAAGACATGATTAGAAATAGTTTTCAGGAAAATGTGCTGTTCGAAACATCGAAACGTCAAACCTCTTTCTGGTAGCAGATAAAGGTGACTTAGGGATTTTTCCTTGACATTTTTGTCATTTTGCTTGACATTTTTGTCATTTTGCTTGACATTTCCAGGTTTTCTCTGACTTTTAAAACTTCCCTGACATTTCCCGGTATTCCCTAAATATGGCAACCCTGTTATAAATCACCAAATTATTCGTTCGATCAAGTAAGAAATCCTGCGGGAGATTCGACAAAACGGGGAATGAGGGACGTTTTCGTCCGAGTAACGCGGCGCTTTTACGCGCCAAATTCTCCTCCATTTTACAACGGAAATAAAATACCGAAAGGACGGAAAATGGAGAGGGGGGGGGGATAATGGTGGACCGAAGGCGGACGGTAGCCGTCTTGGCGTTAATGAGAAGGTGTTGGTTTTATGATTCACTCATTTTTATCGGCAGTTAAACTTTTATGAGGAGCCGACAGAGCCGATGATGGAGCCAATATTTTGCACCGTTCCGGGACATCGAATCTGGGGAGTACTACTGAGGGTTTGCGGCCGGTTAATGGGCCATCAGCTACCTCATCAAAACGCTTATTTTTAAGTCCCCGAATGAAACTTTGAGCTTCGAACGATATAATAACCGACCGGCATCGGTGGAGATCGCGGCCGACTCGGTTGCAAAGTGTCGAGGAAAATCAAATTCTTAAAATTTGGGACGGTAAAATCAGGGTTGCCGCAGAATTTTGAAAATGAAAGTCCCTGACATTTCCCTGGTTTCCCTAACACATTTTGGGGAAATTCCCTGAAAATTGAAGGCCTGGCGGTTAAGAAGGCATAATTGAAAATAGTTTTTATCCAAAATTTCTTATTCAAAATCTCAAACCCATTCTAGAAGGCAAATGAAGATGATTTAACAAATTTTCCCTGACATTTTCGTCTTTTTCCCTGAAATTTCCAGGTTTTCCCTGACTTTAAAATTCCCTGACATTCCTTGGTTTTCTCTGACTGTGGCAACCCTGTAAAATGTTTTTTTTTTCACGTGAACTTCCGTAAATTAGTTTTTTTTCCAAGCGCAGGAACTTGACTCCGTTTGAAAGTTGCAAAACTGACTCGCACAAGTCAATTCAACAAACGAACGAACGAACAAATTTTAAAAATGACTGTGCAATTTCTGTTTAAATTTTTCTATTTTTCCCTGGAGTCAGAAGAAAAACTGGATAACTTTTCGGAAAGAAATGCCTAACAGTTTTCTCAAGGAGAAACAATTGCCGAGTATGAATTTTGCAACGTTGAAATTATTCCTTCAAGCATAATGAAGATCTGACGTCAATATGAGAATGATAGATAAAGTTCTGTAAAAAAAATTGAAGAATGATGACTTTCAAAATTCGTATTGCGATTTCACAGGGAACTGATCTGTTTAGAAACTTCAAAAACGCGATTTGGTCTCACCACGTTACACGTTGCCCACTTTTTAGACATAATTTTTTTTTCTTTTTTTACAAAAAACTTGGCAGCATTCTGCTTTAAAAGTGTGTGCATACACTCTGCATAATCCAGGAGATATTTGCACGAAGTCAAATATGTTGTCAGACATTAAGCTGCTTAGTTTTCTTGAGGAAAAGAGTGGATGATAAACGGAAATTAAGAAACGTGGAAAGGCTGACTTTAGTTAAAACCGTTGAATTGAAATTCAGAGAACGAGAGAAAAACACGGTAATGAGCTATTGCGAGTGTGCTCCATGCAGAAGCGATTCTCGTCAATTGACACTACTAAAATTTGTCCATTTAAACGCATGTTAAACAATCGATACAAATCCTGGATCGATTATTCACGATGCATTAAAATGGAGGGGAAACAGAAATGCCGATTTGCAAGAATCGTCACTGGATCGCGACGGAGAAGCCTGTTTTAACAGCGCAGCGCGCGATCAGGCAGAGCTCGGATTCCTGACGCGCCTTCAATTGGAATCGATACCTCACCACATTACCTGGGAGGCCGTTAAGTTGCATGCTCCGACGAGTGTCAGTTCCTGCGGCTAAGCCAGGTGAAAAACGGCCTTTGGATTGGATGATAACGAACACGAATGGCTTAATAATCAGACCAACAGCATAAGTGTCGCTCTTACGATTCTTTTTTCGGAATATCACTTGTGACTCGGCAGAAAAAAGAAACTTTTCAAGGTAATTTCATGAGAGACACATTATATTTGGACTGCATTTTGCAATTTGGCAAACTTTCAAAGTAATCTCATGAGAGACACATTATATTTGGACTGCATTTTGCAATTTGGAACTATAAATTCTGGCTCATCTGAAAAAAACACTTGGGTGCATAGGGAAACTAATGGTACATACGTTGTTTTTAAACCGGGCTAGAATGTATTGTTCCTAATTGAACAATGTAGTCCATTTTTCAGTGTTCATCAAGTGTCACGCCCTTCTCATCGAAAATACGATTTTATGGAGTTACGTAGCGTTTTAAAGAAAGGAGATACTAAAAATAATACGTAAATAGACAAATAAAAAATGTAAAAAATAGATGAAACACATAATTTTCGATCTTGATCCTTGGTTTGCGATTAATAACTTAGTTCATGCACATGGGTTAGTTTTAAGTTGATTTGAGTGAAATATTCCTCCACCTTTGAAAAAATAGAGTGATACGGAATGAATCCTTTTCTGTGTGGTTAAATCAGAGTGCATTAAAAATTCCGTGAATCGAGTGAGAATTTCAGTGTTAGTGAAGCCGATTTGATAATCGATGAAGAGACAGCAAGAATCAAAGTATTTCAGAGAGACCGTGCAAGAGATCATGTGTACACATTGTGTTCGCAAATTGTGCATTAAGGGGTAGGTTTCAGACTATTCTGCCGTGCTTAGGAAAAACGCTGTATAAACATCAGAGAGTTGCCAAATTTTTCCGGATAAAATATGTATTTTTGAGGAATGTCAAGCACATTTTTCCTTGAAATTTTCAGATGATTTAGATTTAATTGCGTACAAAATTGTCCGAGAATTTGGAGGAAAAATAGTCACATATTTCCTTAAAAAATCGTATTGTCTCTGAAGAAATTTGGCGATGCCCGAAGGTTATACGGCGTTCTTCCTTAGGAAGGCAGTATTTAGAGATACACGTCATGATATTTGGGCGGTTTCACTGTTAAAAACCAGAGGCGTGGCGTGCTTTGCAATAAATCGATTGATCTGCTATTTAAACCTATGTAAAAGGATCGATGAACAGGGTGTTCGAAATGAACACCTTAATAATCGATTCTTTACCATGACTTTAAATGGAGAAATATCGATAATCGATCAGTCACGCCTCGCCACTGTTAACAACTGAAACCATTGGTCTATATCTCTTGTGTGTAAGTGAGGCGGGGTCTCTGAAATGCTCGGCCTTTGAAGATAGCGGTGACGGTGTACAGAGATCTGTGAAGCGAAGGGATTTCAACCACCGGTGAGAGACGAGAAATGAGGAAGCGAAAACGTGAGACAGCGACAGGAGAGATGCGAGGGCCCGAAGGCACGACACCATTCAACCGGAAATGAGCTTTTGTTTGAGGTACCTTTGCTTTTCCGTCGGCCGTTTTGTTATCATCCTTAATTGCTGGTACAGTGGCGACCCGGTAAGAATCTGAGCGCCCGTGCTGAGGGAGAAAAACATGCCATGAGGTTAGCCACAAATCAGGGTATCAAACAAAACGAAACAAAACGCAACATAACAAAACAAAACAAAATGATATTTTGGAAAGGGTAAAAACGCTGGCACAGGCTGGCAAAATGATGTGCTACGGATGACATTTGAACGTACACTGGAAAAAAAAAAAAAAAAAAAAAAAAACACATTGGATCTAGAGTCCAGACTCTTAAATACATCGACAAGAAAAAATACTCTTGATTCAATCGAATTTTTGCTTAAATCAAGAACCAAGACTCTTAATTTGAGCGGATTTCTTTTTGATTTAAGCTTAAATCTGATTGAATCATGAGTCCTTTTGCTTGTCACTGTTTTCAACAGTCTGGACTCTAGATTCAAAGTGGTTTGTTTTTTTTTTTTTTTTTTTTTTTTTTTTTTTTTTTTTTTTTNTTCCCCGGTGTATTTAAATCCAAAGAGACTATCTCCATTATCGCATGGGCCCTCTCAGAGACTGATCCAGCAATTTGGCAACACCGGACTCCCTCCATTTAAACCTACGTTAAACAATCGATTCTTGTCGGAGCACCTGGCCCCTCCAAGAATCGATACATTTCCATGGGTTTAAATGGAGAAAAACGATGTTGCCAATTTGCTGTATCCACTGATGGGCCGTGTCATGCGTGTATTTTTACGAGTCTCAGAGGGTTGATTATGGAGATTGATACACAATATATGGAAAGAGTTATTGACAAAGAAGAGAAAGGGAAAACGGAGTGATCTTATTGGTGGAAGCGAGTGGTTTCAATAGACTTAGGAGGTAAAAAAAACTTAACTATCAGCAGTCCACGAGCGACCCTTTATAATATATATAATTTTCCCCCTTCGTGTATGAAAACCACCCGTTTCAACCAATAGGATTGCTCCATTTTCTCTTCATCTTCTTTGTCTAACTTTTTGTCTATCAATTCCGATTATCAGCTCGCATTGTGAGGGTCACAATAGACCTCCGTGCAAAGGAAGAACGACGCATGAACATTCGAGAGTTGCCGAAGTTTCTCCGATAAAACGTCTACTTTGGAGGAAAGTTATGAATATTTTTCCTTGCAATTTTCGGGAATTATAGGTGAAATTGCGAACAAAATTATCTGGAAAATTGGACGGAAAATATTCACAAGTTTATCAGGAAATTTGTGTTTTATCGAATGAAATTTGGCAACGCCTGAAGGATCAAACGGCGTTTTTCCTTGGCACTGCAGATTTGTATTCATGACGAAGAAGCTCACGTCACAATGCAAATCAAAGGGGCAAGGCGTGATTGGATTCGAGTTCTCGTGTCGAAAATGAATAATTTGGTGTGTACACATGAGTTCATATGAATAATGCGATGAGGGATGTTCGTACTGAGGTCTTAAATAAGTACGTACGGAAGGGATGAGTAAAAATGTTCAACAAATATAGAAATAAACAAGTACAAAAACGCACAAAGGGAAAAAATTAGCCTGAAAAAATCAAAAATATGAGGGCGTGGTTGGATGAAAATGGCATGTTGTGGAGGAATGACTATCAGTTGTTGGCAGCTAATTTCAAGAGGCTGAGTAAGCTTTTGATCCTTGTAACGGGTTACCAATCAGTAATGGTTACCGGTATCATCGTCCGATACGATTACGCAATGATTTTAAGCAAGGCACGCACATTCAAAAGCGTTTATTAAAACAGCAAATATCGCGGTTTCTGCACGAGAGGCTGAAGCAAAAACACGTGTGACAGACTTTCCGATCAAAGTTACGAAGTCTGTGTGTTTTGTGCACCAATCGTGTATTGGGTACCTACGTTGGTGGAGTTGGTAGATCTTTCATTCTTCATATTCGAGCGAGAAATTCAAGAAGATTGTTATACAGGGTAAACGCTTTACTGCAAACTGAAACAATAGACTGATTCAGATGTGATTTTTTTAAAATCTTGTGTAGGTTATGGTGCTGCTGCGCTGAAGGAGAACGCCGTGCTCCGTATATACCGCAGAACGACTGTGTTTCACCGTATGGATGAGTATTTGCGAAAAATGATTATCTAAATGGACCATTAGATCACGTTTCTTAACCAAAATTTTACGTAAAACACGACGCACACAACGAAAATTACCGAAATTAATTCCTTACGAAGATATTTGATGATTCTTGATGCGTGAATTCAAACCACCCGCTCATGAAAACTCAACGCTCTACGTGATTCACATCGCGCGCTAAACGTTATCATGACAGTCTCTGCGATATAAAAATCTGGCAACCTCAATCTTGACGCTTTGGCTCAGCTATAGCAAATTACTTATAGTTTGAACAACACATGGTGGGAAATGAACATTGCTCGATTGAGAAGCTTGCTGAAACCGTTGTAGTGGGCGATTTGACTTGTGTAGAGCTTTGAGTTTCTTGTGAGCGGGCAGTTCAAATTCCTCGTAACCAATGTGAAATAAAAACGTTAACATCTCCGTTAGGAGTTGGTTTCAGTAATTTTCGTTGTGTGAATCGTTTTCTACGTGAAATTCTGGTTAAGAAACATGTATCAGATCGCTTAAATTCGTACCTTGTCTAGTGGTCCATTGCAGTGTTTAAAGTTATCGATTATGTTTCATATTCTCCGAAGAAAATCTATCAAAAAAACCCACTGAAATTTCATCTAATCATTCGGAATGAGAGAAGGAAATTAACATAGAATTTTAAAAGAAACAATTGGTTCGTTTTCCTTTGGAGAAAAAGAAAAAAAAAGAAGAAAAAAAGAAAAATTTGAGCGGAGACCGACAACGTCGCAATCTTAGATACGCATTTTTTTAAACTTTAGCTGTCATTACTCTTAGGAAAGCAGATGCTTTGAACTTCCCGTATAAGTTTGTAAACACCTGCGCTCGATTCTAGTGTTGTGATTTTGGGAGGCAAAGTTCAACCGCGAAGAGGCTAAAAATATTTCCGGATATTACGACGCTGTACGATTAAACTTCGGATTTACGAGGACTGTCTGTTATCACGACGTTCATTCCCGCCACTCAACGAGAGATATAATGTTAAGGTCACGCAGTTCTCCCCTTTTTTTCTGCACGCTTCAATTATTATCGTATTAAAAAAAAAGTACCTCGATAATTAATAGGTATTAATATTCCTATGATAAGTGGACTATATTTTGCAGCCAGCAACTGGGATTTCTGACTCGCTCGGTATACACCTTTCTTCGTATGAAAACTGGTTGCACATAATAAGTTCTTCCTAAAATGAATCAGAAATATATAGTATACTCCTCAAATACAAATGACACTTGAGTGTCTGGCTGTCTCCAAATCTAATTTCTCTAATTTTCCCCCACTTATTTTCAATACGACTTTTTCTGACTTCCAACGTGAAAAATTTTATCATATCATATCAGTGCAATGTTGGGTATCGCTTATTTCGTATAAAAGGTACTATATCAATATAATACTGCCGCAGGTACGCTGAGGAAAAAAAAAAACGATGGTTAACTTAACTATATTAGTTGCAAAATGCAATACCGTAACCTACAGCGGAATAATCTGATCGGCGATACGTACTTTTTTACTAAAATGAAAAGTATCATACTGAAGATCCCATCTTGAACTTTTCTTTACAAACGGTTCAGTTTCCGAGCTGAAGCTGTGCTTCCTCTCATTCTTCCTCCAAAAGAAAAATTTCCATTTACGCCAGGACGGCATTTGTACCACTTCAGTATCGAGGAAAATAAACTTCAAGTTTAGTAAACACTACACATGGTGGATCGAAACGTTAGCAGAGCCAGGTAATGGCCGTTCCGGCGCACAGTGCCTTTGTTGCCGCTTCAACCCTTTTAACAGCGTTAATTGCTAACGCACTGAGCGCCGCAAAGGCGCATTTTTGGGGACAATTTTGGTTTCATTCGTTGCGCTTGGTGTGTTTGATGTGTTTAATGTGTTTGACGTAATAATTGCGCTTGATATGCCCATAGTGTTGGATGTGTGACGTGCTTTTTTGAGTTTGTTGTGGATGATGTGTGTGATGTTTTTGGTATGTTTGTTAAGTTCCATGTATTCTTCATGTGCGGTATGTTTGATGTGTGAAGGTATGTGTGATGTATTTAGTGTTTGTTGTTTATGTGTCAGTTGCGTTTAGTGTGTTTGTTATGTTTGGTTATGTGGTGTTCTTATGTGTTAGTTGTGTTCGGTGAGTTTGCTCTGTATAATATTTGGACTATATTTTGCAATATGAACTATAAATTCTGGCTCGAACGTAGAAACACTTATCTGCATAGAGGAACTAATGATACATACACTATTCCTGGACTAAACCAGAAATTGTAGTTCCTACTAGCAAAATGCGGTTCATTTGGTGTATTTTATGTGTTTATCTTTCATACATAATTTTTTGCCAAGAGTACAGAAACCTGACCTTTCACAACGCAAATGTAAATAATGTCATTTTCATAGGAAGCGTATTAGTACTTACTGACTTGTTAAGCACACCCCTAAAAATTGTTTGAAAATTCGCAAATTTTGGAAATTATTTTTGAGGAAATTTAAAATTGCACCGGCATTCGCGAAATAGAACATGTTTAACCTAAGAATCATTTAGCTTCATGGGACTTTATTGTAAATTTGCGTGACGATCGGATTTTCTGTTTCGATCCACCGTGTGTGAGCGGAACATTTTCGGGGCCCAAAGGCAGGAGTTTCAACTATGACATGAGGAAAACGCGCAACGTCACGTGAAGTTACTGTCGTAACGCAAGGCACAGAGATCTATTAGCAGCACTCAAATTCACTATCGGTCACCTTACTGATATACTCGATTTCACACGGAGCCAACACTTGAAAAAGTATGCAACTTGTCCCGTCTGAGAGTCACAACACTAAGACAAAGTGTCGAGTCCTCCTGAAGGTAATCAAAAGCTGATGATTGGCGCCTGCTTATCCGCAACTTAGATATCATATCGGATCAAGAACCCGAGTCATAGAAAAAAAACGAAAGACAACGA